TGTAATGAGAATTTTGTGCCAATGAAGTCCTTCAAGAGTTTCTCTTCTTGAGGAATACCCAAGAAGAGAAACTCTTCTTGGGTATTCCTCAAGAATACCCAAGAATACCCTGGCCACAATGGTCTTATTTCAGCAGCATCAAGTCTCCATGCTTAGATATACCTTGATAAAAGGTAAAGGTTGTCCCCTGACATTAAGTCCAGTCATGTCTGACACTGGGGTGTGGTGCCCCTCTCCATTTCTAAGCCGAAGAGCCGGCGTTGTACATAGACACCTCCATGGTCATGTGGCCGGCATGACTGCATGGAGCGCCGTTATCTACCAATATTTAGCTACAAGTGAATCTGTTGTTGCAGTTATTCTCATTGAGTTTGGTTATATCAATATGGTTGAAGCAGGAACCTCCAGTGGTGCAATGGCTTAAGCCCTTGTGCTGGCAGGACTGCTGACCGAAAGGTTGGCGGTTTGAATTCAGGGAGTGGGGTATCCTCCCGTTAGTCAACTCCACCTTCTCATGCGTGGGTATGAGAAAAGCCTCTCACAGGATGATGAAACATCTAGGCGTCCCTTGGGCAACATCCTTGCAGACAAGTAATTCTCTCACACCAGAAGCGACTTGCAGTTTCTCAAGTTGCTCCTGACATGAAAAAAAATATGGTTGAACCAATAAAACCTGATCTATCTTGCTGTGTATTGTGATAATAATGCTCAAAATAGCAGGGCACAGCATGATGCTGTGAGGTAGCCAGGCTGTGAGGAATTGACTCAAGAGGAGAAGGTTCTTGTGTGACTCAAGTGCTCTTTCCATAACAGGACAATAAAACATGATCTGAAAATGAAAAGTCCTGGCGGCACTGAGTCATTTAACTGTGCACTTTTAAAATAAACCATTTTGCCAGGTGCACTTCCAATTAGCGTCTTTCCATAATCTGGAATCTGTGCAACACTTAATAAAGAGACAGATTGCACTGAATTCTTTGCAATTTGCTTCTGAATAAATCTTCTTGGGATTGGCTCTTGGTTATGTTATGTGTGTCTCTTAGTCATTCCACCCAATTAGTCTTCCCTCTGCAAATCTCTGTGGATGCCTCTCCTCGACTATGCCTCTCCAAAGGCTTTGAATTCTGCTTTTTAAGTAATCCTTGATTCCTCCTGGGTTGCCGCTGGGTTCTGATTACCCTGTGACATTCTGTTTAGGATTGCCAAGGCTCCCTTAAGGATCCTCCATCTTGAGCCCATTGGCTCAGAAAGAGAGCCTTGGAGTGCACAGCACTGTGCTTACGCTTAGTTTGAAAGACCTGCTCTTTGCTGAAGAACTGCATGTATGTAAAACCACATCCAATGCATATTTGTCTTTTATAGTTGCAATATTAAAACCATATTTTGTCCTATCACGATGGTGCGAGTAAGATCATCACACAATCCCTTTTGCAGTTGGAACTGCTTTAAAATAATTAGTTGATCTACTGATAATCGAGAATGAGGGGACTCATGGCAACTCCACTGTTAACTATAGCTCCACAAGACTGGGAAAGCTAGAGTTGCCCACCCTGATCTGTAGAGTAGTTGCAGGATAGGAATAGTTGCCTTATTGGCAATGCCATGGGCAGGCTCCATTATATTGGGAGGGGCTATAGCTTAGTAATACAGGGCGTGCTTTGCATTCACTAGGTCCCAAGTGATTTGGCACCACTAGTACTTACTTAGGTGATCCCTCGTAGTCCGAGGATGATAGTCCTCCAAGGTCGGTGTTCTGGCGGTGGGTCCATAGGTGACTGTGGAGCCCTATTCAGAATTGTGCACATCCCTAAGTGCTACCATTACTGTCCCTTCCAGCAGATACTGGGTTTCTTGCAAAGCCAACAGATTGCTTACTTATTGTTGTGTTTTTACTGCTAGGGTATGTGTTAAGCTCTTTGGAAGAAAGATGTAGATAGGATCCAGAGGAAGCTCCTGGTGGTGCCGTGGATTAAACCCTGGTGCTGGCAGGACTGTTTACTGACAGGTCAGCAATTTGAATCTGGGGAGAGCGAGTTGAGCTCCCTCTGTTAGCTCCAGTTCGCCATGCAGGGACATGAGAGAAACCTCCCTTACTTACTTAGGCGATCCCTCGGATGATGGTCCTCCAAGGTCAGTGTTCTGGCGGTGGGTCCATAGGTGACTGTGGAGCCCTATTCTTGATCTGCATCTTCTCCCACAGTGAGGGCATCGGTTTCCAGGTGGAAGGCGGTCCCGGTCGGGGTTGGTCTGACACGCCTTCCTCTTGGCAATTTTCTCTCTTTCGTCCTCCATTCGTGGCTCTTCAAATTCTACAGCATTGCTGGTCACAGCTGACCTCCAGCTGGAGCACTCACAGGCCAGGGCTTTCCCGTTCTCAGTGTCTATGCCAGAGTTTTTAAGGTTGGCTTTGAGCCCATCTTTCAATCTCTTTTCCTGCCCAAAAACATTCCGTTTTCCGTTCTTGAGTTCAGAGTAGAGCAACTGCTTTGGGAGATGGTGGTCARGCATCTGGACAAYGTGCCCATTCCAGCGGAGTKGATGGTGGAGGACCATCGCTTCAGTGCTGGTGGTCTTTGCTTCTTCCAGCATGCTGACATTTGTTTGCTTGTCTTCCCAAGAGATTTGCAGAATTTTTCGGAGGCAGCGCTGATGGAATCGTTCCAGGAGTTGCATGTGACGTCTGTAGACAGTCCACATCTTGCAAGCGTATAGCAGGGTTGGGAGGACAATAGCTTTATAAACAAGCACCTTGATATCCCTACGGATGTCCTGGTCCTCAAACACTCTCTGCTTCATCCACTAGTAAAGAGAATATGATAGCAGAGAGACCTCCGAATGAGTCCTAGGTGAGCTGATAGCACACCCCGACAACAACAGCAAAACTTATATTGTGTTCTGTTTTTTTGAGTCCCCTGGTAGCGCAGTGGGTTAAACTGCTGAGCTGCCGAACTTGCTGACTAAAAGGTTGGTGGGTTGAATCTGGGAAGCAGTTTGAGCTCCTCCTGTTGGCCCCAGATTCTTCTAACCTTGCAGTTTGAAAACATGCATGTGTAAGTAGATCAATAAGTACTGCTTCTGTGGGAAGGCCACATGATCTTGGAGGTGCCTATGGACAGCGCCGGCTCTTCAGCTTAGAAATGGAGATGAGCACCACCCCCAGAGTCAGACATGACTAGGCTTAATGTCAGGGAAAACCTTTCCCTTTACCTGTTTTTTTAGGCCTGTTCCTGGGGTTATCTGGAGCACTGATTCAGGAAATTGCACTGAATGGATCACGTCAGCTCTAGTTTCTCAGATATCGTGTCATTTTTTCTGTGGGTGAGCTGATGGCGACTAGAAGATGTAATATGTTCTGTTTCTCAAAAACTACAACTGATGGGGAAAATCAGTGTCACTTTTGAAATGAACAAGTCAAATATACCCAAAAATCAGGCTAGCATTTCAGGAACCAAAATGTGTGTTGATCAACGTAATAGTAAGCTGGATGGTTAGTAGCCTGACCTTCAGAGTGCAGAAAGCGCTCACCAACCTTGCTGGGAAACTCTGGGACTTTCCCATGCCTATGTGAAGCAAGTCCTATATTTAACATGCATCCATCATGCAAAAAAAAAGTGTGTGTGTGTGTGTGTGTGTAAGAGTGAAAGAGAGAAACTTAAAGAGGAAGAATGTATACAAATATAGTCTGACCTCCCAAAATAATCCAATCCACAAGTTTGTATTTATGGTAACTTCTTGAGATTGAAGTAAATTCTATGTATAATAAAATCTGTGGGTAAAATCTCCTCCCTTCTCCCAGGCCTGTTATTTACATTTTAAAAACTTTTTCTACAGTATTTATTTATTTACAGTATTTATATACTGCTTTTCTCACCCCTAGGGAGACTCAAAGCGGTTTACACATAGATAATGGCAAAATTTCAATGCCTAACAACTACAATAGTAAAACCACACTTTAAACATCAATCATATTAAAAACAGTGCATCAACAAATATCAAAACAGTTATTAAAACCATAAAACAATCTCATCAGTCGAGTCGCCGTTCCAGTCCTTCTCCCACTAAAAGCTGCATACATCTATTGTCCGAAGGCCTGGTCCCAGAACCATGATTTTAATTTTTTTTCCAAAGGTCAGGAGCGAGGGAGGAGATCTTACCTCCTTTGGGAGTGTGTTCCATAGGCGGAGGGCCACAGCTGAGAAGGCCCTGCTCCTCGTTCCTGCCAGCCGCATTTGCGCTGTTGACGGGAACGAGAGCAGGGCCTCCCTGGATTATCTTAAATTGCGAGGTGGGACATAGGGGCAGATGCGTTCGGACAAGTAGGCTGGGCTCGAACCGTATAGAGCTTTATAGGTCAAAACCAGCACTTTGAATTGGGTTCGGAGATGGACCAGCAGCCAGTGGAGCTGGCATAACAGGGGGGTGGTATGCTCCTTGTATGCCACCCCAGTTAGTAATCTGACACCCGCCTGTTGAACTAACTGAAGTTTCCGAACCATCTTCAAAGGCAGCCCCAAGTAGAGTGTGTATCTTTAACCTCAAGGAAAATTATCTGAAACCTTATTTAGATTGGAATGACACTGTTCTCCTCTAACTCTTTGCAATCAGAAAGCTTTGTGATGTCCCTCATATCCGAGCAGCTAACTTCCCCCACTTTCTGATTATTCAACTATCCTGTTGTTTGACAGGGTGTTGTGTTAGCATGGGATTATGTGGTATGGATGCACTGAATCTGAACAAAGAGTTAGGAATTTTGAATATCTGAGAGTGTCTTAATGGGTTTCTGGTATACATTTTGCTCAGCAAGTTTTTTTCTTTCCCAAACTAGACCAATAAAAACTTGATGTCTGGCCAGCTCTGCACTTAGGATGGGCTGAATGTGGGTGGCTGTCTGTTTGTGTGGTTGTCTATAATCCTACCAGGAGCTACTTTGATGACTGCCCCATTTCTCTGTCTCTCGATCTTTCTCTCTTTTCGTTTCTTTTCTTCCTTCTCCTTTCCAGTATCATTTGTCTTATCCAGGATGGCCGCTTGCGGAGGCACCACCAAAAATAGGCTCACGGTAAATAAGCACGTCTGGGACTTTCTAACCAAGGAAAGCCCCGCCAAGCTGGTCAAGCTGAAGGAGGAAAACAAGGTGAGCATCTTGATCGATGGCGAGACTTCGGAGATCTACGTGCTCCAGATCACCATGCCTGCCCACGGGCCCAGCAATGGCCTCTACCTGGCCCGCAAGGCTCTCAAGGCTCTGCTGAAGGAGACTGAGAAGGAGCTGAAGAAAGCCCAGCGCCAGAGCGAGCTGATGGGCTGCATGGCCTTAATGGAGAAGAACAGGGAGCACGGGCCAGTCGAGCTCCATCGCCGAGGGACTGGCTTGATATCCAGAGGGCAGCAGACCTCCGGGCCCAGAGTGGTCAGTGGGAGCGGAGGGGTCGCCGGCTGCTCACGGGGCGGGGAAGAGGAACAGGACAGCCAGTGCCCCATCTGCTTGGGGGAGATCCAGAACATTAAGACTCTGGAGAAGTGCAAGCACTCCTTCTGCGAGGACTGTATCACCCGGGCCTTGCAGGTCAAGAAAGCCTGTCCAATGTGTGGCCGTTTCTATGGGCAGCTGGTGGGCAACCAGCCAGAGAATGGACGCATGCTGGTCTCCAAGGACTCAAGTGTGCTGCTCCCTGGTTATGAGAAGTATGGCACCATCATCATCCAGTACGTCTTCCCACCTGGCATACAAGGGGTAAGTTGGCTTCATGTTCTTTGTCTTTATGTCTAACCCAAGATTCATAGAATCATAGTATTGGAAGAGACCGAATGAGCCATCTAGTCCAACCCCCTGCCATGTGGGAAAAGCACAAATTACCCCTGACAGATGGCCATCCAGCCTCTGTTTAAAAGCCTCCAGAGAAGGAGCTTCTACTACCCTGCGAGGCAGTGAGTTGCACTGTTGAACTGCTCTCATAGTCTGGAAGTTCTTCCCAATGTCCAGATTCATGAAGTGTGCTGCCAGACAAAGGCATTCCTCGCTTTTTTCAGAAGGTAGACTGATGAGCTGATGAAATGCCCCCTGGTGGTGCAGCAGGTTAAACCGCTGAGCTGCTGTACTTGCTGACCAGAAATCACTATTAAAATCATTCCATCCACAGTTGTAATCTGGGGCCATTCCGAAAATCATTGCGTATATTTCGTAGTTATTTTGCGCTGTAGTTAATCTGCAAAGGCTTGACCCCAGATTACTTTCCTTCTGAAGGTCAGGAGGGAGGGGGCTGTGCTAATATCACTGGGAAGGGAGTTCCACAGCTGAAGGGCCACCACTGAGAAGGCCCTGTCCCTCATCTCCACCAGATGCACCTGTGTAGGTGGCAGGACCGAGAGCAGGGCCTCCCCTGATGATCTTAGTCTCGTAGGACATGCATCTGTCTTTTATGCCCAGAGGCATATGATACATAGACTATACTTAAGAGTTTGTCCAGCACAATGAGATTTGTAAATGCAGATATTTTGTCGAAGGTTTTCATGGCCGGAATCACAGGGTTGTTGTAGGTTTTTTCGGGCTATATAGCCATGTTCTAGAGGCTTTCTCTTCCGATGTTTCGCCTGCATCTATGGCAAGCATCTTCAGAGGTAGTGAGGTCTGTTGGAACTAGGAAAAAAGGATTTATATATCTTTGGAATGATCAGGGTGAGACAAAGGACTCTTGTCTGCTGGAGCTAGGTGTGAATGTTTCAACTGATAACCTTGATTAGCATTTGATGGCCTGGCAGTGCCTGGGGCAATCTTTTGTTGAGAGGTGATTAGATGTCCCAGATTATTCCCTCTGTTGTTTTGCTGTTGTAATTTTAGAGTTTTTTAAATACTGGTAGCCAGCTTTTTGTTCATTTTCATGGTTTCCTCCTTTCTGTTGAAATTGTCCACATGCTTGTGGATTTCAATGGCTTCTCTGTGTAGTCTGACATGGTGGTTGTGAGAGTGGTCCAGCATTTCTGTGTTCTTAAATAATACGCTGTGTCCAGGTTGGTTCATCAGGTGCTCTGCTATGGCTGACTTCTCTGGTTGGAGTAGTCTGCAGTGCCTTTCATGTTCCCTGATTCGTGTTTGGACAATGCTGCGTTTGGTGGTCCCTATGTAGACTTGTCCACAGCTGCATGGTATACGGTAGACTCCTGCAGAGGTGAGAGGATCCCAGCCGCTTTTCCTTTCCTTTTTATATTCCTCTAACCTTCCAAATGATTGCCTCTTTCTCATTTTAAGAATGGTTTTGATCCCTTCTACCACTTAGAAAAGAAACATTTCCATCGGAGTTGTAGGGTGCAGCTATTTTGAGCACCCTGAAAATCTGCTCTGGAGAGTTAGGTGACCCTGAGGTTAGGTGGTATGAGGAAAACGAATAGAGCGGAAACAGTTCATGGCCAGTGCATGTGTCGGTTGGGTGTGCACAAACTTGGGATTTCCTACATTCTGAGTATTTGCTTTGCAACTGACATGTTTTACATTGGGTTCCTATCAGTTTGGGTTTCAAGTGCATGTCTGTCTATCTATCTATCTATCTATCTATCTATCTATCTATCTATCTATCTATCTATCTAAAAATGCTCTGTGCATAATGAGTACCTTAAAAACAAAAGAACCAATGAACGAAATCACACCAAATTTGGCAACAAAACGTCTCACAACACAAGGAGTGACCATCACTCAAAAATTATGATTTTGTCATTTGGGAGTTGTAGTTGCTGGGATTTATATCCACCTACAATCAAAGAGCATTTTGAACTCCATCAACAATGAAATTGAACCAAACTTTGCACACTGAACTCCCATGACCAACAGAAAATACTGGAAGGGTTTGGTGGGCATTGACCTTGAGTTTGGGAATTGTAGTTCACCTACATCCAGAGAGCACTGTGGACTCAAACAATGATGGATCTGGACCAAACTTGGCACAAGCACTCAATACGCCCAAATATGAACACAGATGGAGTTTGGGGGAAATAGACCTTGACATTTGGGAGCTGTAGTCACTGGGATTCACAGTTCACCTACAATCAAAGAGCATTCTGAACCCCACGACGACAGAATCAGGGCAAACTTCCCACACAGAACCCCCATGACCAACAGAAAATACTTAAGGCCATCCAATCCAACTCCCTTCATCAGGGCAAGAAAACGTAATCAAAGTCCTCCTGACAAAGAGCCATCCAGCCATAGATATAGATACATAGAGATAGATAGATATGATTCACACACACACATATAGTATAATAGATTTGAAAGGGACCCCTAAAGAAGGACAATGATATGTTGCATGTTCCAGGGTGGGCAAACCAGACATCTCCACATCAACACTGACAAAGAAACAGCAAGAAATACTGTTTACCCACAAGCATAAAGAAATTACATATATTAGAAACCAACACTTTCTCGTTACTTTATTTTCCAGATCAACAGACTGGGAGTCTGTTTCAGTGGGAGAGATGCAACCATAAGAAGTAGACTAGAAGTAGATTCCACTGTATATATTAAAGCTTACTCCCAAACAAGTTTGTGTAGGATTGTGTGCTTTACATGTAAAAGTGTGGATGATGCTTAGGAACAGGTATGAAATCTGAAAGAAAACATCTAAAATAGATTAAAATACCCTATTTAGAGGGCATTTTATTCTGTTTGATAAATTTGCTGTAACCTGCCACAAGGAGAGGTAAGAATTGTTGTTGTTGATGATGTTTTAATATATGATTCCTGTGAAAACGTAGGCAGACGAAGGTATTATCTGTTAGGAAATCTGCGTGGTAGAGGAGGCACCTTTCTGAATGTGCATTGGAGTAAGTGGCAGGACAGCTGACCGAAAGGTCAGCAGTTTGAATCCAGGGAGCGGGGTGAGCTCCCATCTATCAGCTCCAGCTTCCCATGCGGGGACATGAGAGAAGCCTCCCACAGGATGGTAAAACATCCGAGCATCCCCTGGGCAACATCCTTGCAGATGGCCAATACTCTCACACCAGAAGCGACTTGCAGTTTCTCAAGTTGCTCCTGACATGGGGGAAAAATGTGTCACGCGATGTCCAGTTCGCCCATTGCCGTTGAGAGGTTTCCATTCTGTAGATCAATCTCCTTTGTGACAGTCTTAATAAAGAAATTGGAAAGAAGCAATGGGGAGGGGAAGAGATAATTGGGTGGGGATTGCCAATAGAAACAGATGGGTCCTCAGTAAGCCAAGTGTGGAATAGGCTCTGAAAATGCTGTGGTATTGCTTTCCAGGGAGAAGCCATAAAGGGAAGAGAAATAGGGACTCAAAACCGATCTGAAAACATAATCTGCTACTTTCTGTAGCAGAAACATATTCTGCTACTATTTTAAAGTTGGTTGGGATGGGGGAGAGCAGCTCCATGGGATTGGCTATGCATTAAAATCTCTTTAATGTCATGTTGTTTTGCAGTTGGGACCAGCAGATAGGTTGAATTCTAAGAGCCCTAGGTCCTGTTGGTGGATCTTAGGCTCCTAGTAAAATAAATGAATACATAAAAGCAATAAAGTCATATAAGCCTTGTTCCCAGTATATCAATGACTGGTTTGAATCATATGGCAAAACAAGGTGTAGTGTTTGCTCCTAGAGCAAATATGTTCATGTAACTGGATAAGTAAAGGTAAAGATTTCCCCTTGACATTAAGACTAGTCGAGTCCGACTCTGGGGGGTGGTGCTCATCACCATTTCTAATTTGAAGTGCCAGTGTTGTCCGTAGACACCTCCAGAATCATGTGGCCGGCATGAAGCTCTGTTACCTTCTCGCCTGAGCGGTACCTATTTATCTACTCAAATTTGCATGTTTTCGAACTGCTAGGTTGGCAGAAGCTGAGGCTAACAGTGGGAGCCCACCCCACTCCCCAGATTTGAACCGCCGACTCCGGTCAGCAAGTTTGTGCAGCTTAGCGGTTTAACCTACTGCACCACCATGGCCCTTATTATGTTCTAACTTGATAGAACATCTATATATATAAAATGCTCTGTGCATAATGAGTACCTTAAAGCAAAGGAACCAATGAACGAAATCACACCAAATTTGGCAACAAAACATCTCACAACACAAGGAGTGGCCATCACTCAAAAAATTATGAGTTTGTCATTTGGGAGTTGTAGTTGCTGGGATTTATAGTTCACCTACAATCAAAGAGCATTCTGAACTCCACCAACAATAGAATTGAACCAAACTTGGCACACAGGACTCCCCTGGCCAACAGAAAACCCTAGAAGGGTTTGGTGAGCATTGACCTTGAATTTTGGAGTTGTAGTTCACCTACATCTAGAGAGCACTATGGACTCGAAACAATGATGGATCTGGCCAAACTGGACAGGAATACTTAATATGCCCAAATGTGAAGATGGATGGAGTTTGGGGGAAATAGACCTTGACATTTGGGAGTTGTAGTTACTAGGATATATAGTTCACTTACAATCAAAGAACATTCTAAACCCCACCAACGATGGAATTGGGCCAAACATCCCACACATAACCCCCATGACCAACAGAAAATACTGTGTTATCTGGTGGTCTTTGGTGACCTTTCTGACACCCCCATGGTGATTCCCCCCCCCCCTCCGGGGTCTTGACTTCCCAGGTTGAGAAATGCTGCCTTAAGGCCACCCAGTCCAACTCCCTTCACCAGGGCAAGAAAACATAATCAAAGCCCTCCTAACAAAGGGCCACCCAACCATTCATACACACACACACATATATGTATATGACAGATGCAGTATCATAGATTTGAAAGGGACCCCTAAAGAAGGGCAATGTTATGTTGCATGTTCCAGAGTAGGCAAACCAGACAATCTCCACATCAACGCTGGCAAAGAAACAGCAAGAAATTCTGTTTACCCACAAGCATAAAGACATTACATATATTAGAAGCCAACACTTTCTCATTACTTTATTTTCCAGATCACCAGACTGGGCCTCAGCAATGCGTGGCAGGGGACAGCTAGTAATAATATAAGTCGGGGAGGGGATTCTATGATCACGATTTATCCAAAACCCATTTCTTACAGAATCAGTTTGAAGTAAGGAGATGATATTGAAAGTGAACCAGATGAGCTATTTTGATAATCTTCCCAGAATGAAAATGTATATCACTGCACTTCCTAAATATGTCAAATAGTAATGTTCATTGTTAATCCAGCCCTACTTTATTATCTTTTGGTTTCCACTAATCCGCCCCCTCACTTTATCATCATGACAAAGCTTTGAAACCAAGTGATTTTTGACATTTCAGTTCTTTCTCTGATTCTTCTTCCAAGGTGTGTTTCACTTTCTTTCCTCCGGGGTTTTCAGCATTCTCAAAAATCCTGCCTTGTCCCAGTTTTAGTTAAAAGTTGAGGCATAAATGAAAGCTTTTCAGAATAATATTTTCTGGCAAAGATTGAGTGTTCTTAGTGTCGCCATCCTTAAACCGGTGCCCTTTGGATATGTTGTCTTATGCTTGCTGAGGTGTGACAGGAGTTGTTATTTCAACCGATCTAGAAGATACTCGGCTCAATAGGGCTGCCCTAGGGGAGGCAGGAGAGCCCAAATTAAGGAAGGTGTTTCACTTTACGTTGTCTTTGTTTTTACAATCTCATCTATTTTCTAACCCACTTACCTTTAGGAGGATGAATGACGTATTCTTCCTGCCATTCCCCGATCCCCTTTTGCAGGTGGAGCACCCCAATCCCGGCGTCCGCTACCCAGGCACCACCCGCGTGGCCTACCTACCCGACTGCCCTGAAGGCAACAAGGTGCTGGCTCTGTTCCGTAAGGCCTTTGACCAACGCCTCACCTTCACCATCGGCACTTCCATGACCACAGGACGAGCCAATGTCATCACCTGGAACGACATCCACCACAAAACCAACTGCACAGGCGGGCCACAGCTGTAAGGAGGGGCTGTGCGGCCGGGGGGAGGGGGGTTGTTTGTTTATTTATTTATAGTATTTGTATACCGCTTTTCTCACCCCGAAGGGGACTCAAAGCGGTTTACATATAAGTAATGGCAAAATTCAATGCCAGTGCAAACAATTACAATTATACACTACAATCTATATAAATAAAAATGTAATGTTTGTTTGTGGGATTCACAGAATTCAAAAACCAGTGGGCCAATTGACATCAAATTTGGACGGCATACACCTAACAACCCAATGTATGTCCTTCACTCAAAAATTTTTGATTTTATCATTTGGGAGTTGAAGCTGCTAGGATTTATAGTTCACCTACAATCAAAGAGCATTCTGAACTCCACCAACGATGTAATTGAACCAAATGTAGCACACAGGACTCCCATGACCAACAGAAAACACTAGAAGGGTTTGGTGGGCATTGACCTTGAGTTTGGGAGTTGTAGTTCACCTACATCTAGAGGACTCAAACAATGATGGATCTGGACCAAACTTGGCACGAATATTTCATATGCCCAACTAGGAACACAGATAGAGTTTGGGGGAAATAGACTTTGACATTTGGGACTTCTGATTACTGGGATTTATAGTTCACCTACAATCAAAGAGCATTCTGAATCCCACAAACTTCCCACACAGAACCTCTATGACCAATAGAAAATACTTAAGGCCATCCAGCCCAACTCCCTTTACCAGGGCAAAAAATGTAATCAAATACTGTTTACCCACAAGCATAAAGAAATTACATATATTAGAAACCAACACTTTCTCATTACTTTATTGTTCCAGATGACCAGACAGGGCCACAGCAATTAGTGGCAGAAGATGGCTAGTTAGACATAAATCAAGTTAAAAACAATACATCCACAAGCAATAAAACAATCAGTTGGGGTCTATGCATGGTGTGGCTAAGTTCAGAGTTCATTAAGGGTGAAGTGAGTTAAACAAGATCCTAGGAAATCCAGCAATATGCTATTCAAACAGGAATGGGGATGTACCTGTTCCAGTTGATGTTGTTGGAGTGTGGTTCCTATCATTCCTCTAGACTTAGGTTTGATTAGAATTGCAGTCCAAAAAATTGGAGGGCCACACCTTCCAGGAATACCTTGTGCTCTACTTTGGTCTGAATGCCCTTGAGTTATTATTCTGGTCCCCTTTTGTGATATTAGGTGGTACTGCATAAAACGGTGGTTTTATTTTGTTAAGTACTATTGTTTTTAAAGCTCCAGACTGCTACACATTGAGTTCAGTTATTCTTTTTTATAACAACAACAACAACAACAACAATAATAATAATAATAATAGAACTCTTTGCAGTGCTATTATTATTATTTTACTGACAGAAAAGCACAGTATGTCACAGCAAATGAGATCTACGAAATCCAGCATATAGATCTCATTTGCTGTGACATACTGTGCTTTTGTGTCAGTAAAATAATAATAATAATAATAATAATAATAGAACTCTTAGCAGTTCTATTATTATTATTATTTTAGTGACACAAAAGCACAATATGTCACAGCAAACGAGATCTACAAAATCCAGCATATAGATCTCATTTGCTGTGGCATACTGTGCTTTTGTGTCAGTATAATAATAATAATAATAATAATAATAATAATAATAATAATAATAGAACTGCAAAGGGTCTTGCACAAGCCAGTAAAGGTGGTCTCAGTGGTGATCGGCACACTGGGTGCCGTGCCTAAAGACCTTGGCCTGCACTTAAAAACAATTGGCGCTGACAAAATTACCATCTGTCAGCTGCAGAAGGCCACTTTACTGGGATCTGCACGCATTATCCGCTGATACATCACACCGTCCTAAACACTTGGAAAGTGTACAATGTGTGATCTAATACAACAGCCAGCAGAGTGATCTTGTTGCTGTGTACTAATCTTGTTGTATATCAAATAATAATAATAATAATAATAATAATAATAATTCTGCCAGCTGCAGAAGGCCACCTTCCTGGGATCTGCACACATTATTCATTGATACATCACGCAATCCTAGACACTTAGGAAGTGTCTGACGTGTGATCCAATACAACAGCCAGCAGAGTGATCTTGTCTGCTGTGGACTCATCATGTTGTATTTCAAATAATAATAATAATAATAATAATAATAATAATAATAATAATAATAATGCTTTATTTGTATTCTTCTCTATCTCCCCGAGGAAACTCAGGGCATATTCCAGCATACATAAACACAAAGGCAAACACTCAATGCCTAGAATCAACCAAACACAGTTAAAGGTAAAAGTTTCCCCTTACGGATTCTGAGCAATGGTGATATTATCCAGGTTATAGATGGAAAACTGGACTTTTCCAGAATGGTGATATACTGGAAGGTGTGTTTTTTCTAGCTACATAGAAGGAAAACGCCACATTTTAGGTTGTATCCTTGCCCCTATTATCACCATTCCTCATGATTCATGATTGAGCCAAGGTATAAAAAATCTATAATTACCTCATTATCTTCTTTAAAGTTATGTACATTATAGCTTTATATAAATCATAACTTTATGGCACCACCAATGACTGATCTTGTTCACAGCTCCCATATGTCCAGGAATGGCTTGTTTATGATGTCAATCCAGTAATTGTGACCTGAGCATTAAGATGACATGTAAATCATACATAATCACACAGCTACATACATAAACTCAGCAAATTGTTTCTGTATCACCCCTTCTGCTGAGGAACCCATGCACACGGCAGAGAGGTTCTGGATGTGTGCTTGGTTCTTGAGGTGGCTGGCCAGAGCTTTTGCATTTCTCCTTTTCTTAAACACCCCAAAGGGACAGAGGTGAAAAAGCTAGTGGATGCTATGGAGACAAACCCATTGTCATTAAGGCATAATAATAATAATAATAATAATAATAATAATAATAATAATAATTATTATTATTATTATTATTATTATTATTATTATTAACATGTCAAACTACTCTGGGACTTCTGAATTCAGACTGACAAGAGTTTTGGAGCACAATACTCCTGACCTCACGAACCCCCCCCAACCCCCCCCCCCCCCCCCACCACCCCACCCCCCCCCCCCACCCCCCCACCCTCCCCCCCAACCCCAAACTCAGCCCACCCCCCCCCCACACATCTCCCCCACCCCCCCCTTTCCCAGCCCAAGCCACTCACTCACCACCTCCCCACTCCCCACCCCACCCCCCCCCCCACCCCATCCCCCACCCCCACCCACGCCCCCAAACCCCCCCCCAACACTCCAAGCTTTGGAGCACATACTCCTGACCTCACGATTGTGTTAAAAAACAAAGTATGGATCGTTGATGTTGCAATCCCAGGCGACAGCAGGATTGAAGAGAAACGACTGGAAAAGCATACACGATATGAGGATTTAAAGATTGAAGTGCAAAGACTCTCGTACAAGCCAGTAAAATTGGTCCCAGTGGTGATCGGCACACTGGGTACAGTGCCTAAAGACCTTGGCCTGCACTTAAACACAATTGGTTCTGACAAAATTACCATCTGCCAGCTGCAGAAGGCCACCTTACTGGGATCTGCATGCATTATTCGCTGATACATAATAATAATAATAATAGGAAAGTGTCTGACGTGTGATCAAATACAGAAGCCAGCATAATGATCTTGTTTGCTGTGTACTAATCTTGTTATGTATCTAATAATAATAATAATAATAATAATAATAATAATAATCTGTGCGCATCTTTCAAAAATACATCACACAGTCCTAGACGCTTACTAATCTTGTGTTTCAAATAATAATAATAATAATAATAATAATAATAATTATTATTATTATTAATAACCCGCCATATCTCCTTGAAGGGACTCAGGGCGGTTTCCAGTGGAAATAACATAGTGACAAGCATTCAATGCCAAAATAACAAATAAACAGTGGGTGGGTTTAAATATAAATGTTGCTGTATTACTGAAGTTTAATTTTTTACAGTTTATGTCCAAATGTTATTTTATGTTTATGTTTTCATATGGTTAGAATTTTAAGTTATAGTTATACGTTATTGTCTAGCTATTACATTTTGGTTTTCACATGTATGTACGGCATTGAATTTTGCCTTTATTTGGGGGGGGGGGGGGGGGGGGGGGGGGGGGGGGGGGGGGGGGGGGGGGGGGGGGGGGGGGGTGGGGGGGGGGGGGGGGGGGGGTGAAACCGCTTTGAGTTCCCTCAGGAGGAGAAAAGCGTTATATAAATGTAGTAAATACCGTATATACTCGAGTATAAGCCAACCCAATATAAGCCGAGGCACCTAATATTACCACAAAAAACTGGGAAAATGGATTGACTCGAGGATAAGCCGAGGGTGGGAAATGCAGCAGCTACTGGTCAATTCCAAAATAAAAATAGATACTAATAAAATTGCATTAATTGAGTCATCGGTAGATTAAATGTTTTTGAATAAAACTGTAAATTAAGATAAGACTGTCCTCTGATTAAAGCATTATTCTAACCTTCTTCAGTGTAAATGTGTTTACATATCCTTCCAATAATAATAGAGTAAAATAATAAATGTAATAATAACAATAAAGAATAAAATAATAAATGTAATAATAATAGAGTAAAATGATTAATGTAATAATAGAGTACAATATCAGAGTAAAATAATAAATGTAATAATAACAATAATAAAGAATAAAATAATAAATGTAATAATAATAGAGTAAAATAATTAATGTAATAATAATAATAATAATAATAATAATAATAATAATAATAATAATAGAGTAAAATAATAAAAAACCTTGACTTGAGTATAAGCCGAGGGAGACTTTTTCAGCCTAAAAAAAGGACTGAAAAACTAGGCTTACACTCGAGTATATACAGTAAATAAGTAGTAAATAAATGATACATATATATATAGAGAGAGAGAGAGAGAGTAAAATTTAAATAAAAATAGCATAATACCACACTCGCTCATCGATCTAATCAAGAAATCCATTTTAGGCTTCCAAGGAATCCTGGAATTGTGTGAAATATGTTTGAAAAGTCTCTAGCCCTTTTTGTAGTATAATAACAACAACAACTACTGCTACAACTTTATTTTTGTATCCTGCCTAGATCTCCCTGGAGGGACTTGGGGCAGCTTACATGAAAACTCATTACTGTATATAGCTAAATGGTTGGCCTCTCTGTCTGATATTTCGTTTCCATTCATTCTTAGGTTTGGCTACCCTGATGCTACATATCTTGCCCGGGTGCAAGAAGAACTACGAGCCAAGGGCATCACCAATGACTGATCTTATTCCCTGCTCCCCTATGCCCAGGAATGGCTTGTCCTTTCTCCCAAGTCCAGCCGTTGTGGATGGAGCATTCTCACCTATTGGAGCCAACTGTCTCATGATGTGGTCTTGATCCAGAGCACAGAGCCTGGTTATTCATATTGAGATGACATTCCAAGTTGAACCAGTTACCCGAAGAATAAGGGACCAGAGGCCTATGGACATCTGTGTGTGTACATGAATGTGTATGAGTGAGAAAGAGAGAGAATGAATTCAACATCTGCCTTTGAATTGGTTCCAGTAAGAAAAAGTTCAAGCCCAGCCTACACACTGCACAGAATGAGACAGTCGAGTCCTGGACTGTAGATGCTCAGACTATTTGGTAGAATGGGATCACTATTTTAAATGATACCCTCTTTAAGTTCAAAAAGAAGCTGAAAAAGCAACTTCCTGTGTGTAGTAAACAAGCATATCAGAGAGAGTCCTGTGTTGAATCCTTTTCTATGATGTACTGGATGACTATATGCAGGAATAATTCGTTTACAGAACATTTGAAAATAATAGCCCTGGTATCTCTCATCTGACATCACTTAAGTCCAGGTTTTTATTAGCTGCATAGTAATAGATTGGCTCTTTGACCCAGAAATAGGTTAATGAAGAGGCAAGCTCTTTTTGCTTGTTCACATTTCTGCCTCATTCACATTTCAAAAAAGAGATGGGAGTTGGGTTGTTGTAGGTTTGTATATGGCCATGTTTTAGAGGCATTTTCTCCTGACGTTTCGCCTGCATTTATGGCAAGCATCCTCAGAGGTTGTGAGGTCTATTGGAACTAGGAAAATGGGTTTATATATATCTGTGGAATGACCAGGGTGGGGCAAAGAACTCTTGTCTGTTGGAGCTAGGTGTGAATGTTTCAACTGGCCACCTTGATTAGCATTTGATGGCCTGGCAGTGCCTGGGGCAATCTTTTGTTGAGAGGTGATTAAATGTGCCTGATTGTTGGGAGTTGTTTTGATTTACCTTAAGAGGAGGGTTCTGGTGACAGGAGCTTCTCAACATTACTTCCCTTGTGCTCTTCCTCTCCAGTCTCTGTGCTCTCCAGGCAAGAAAACTTGTGAGATTGGCAGAAAGCTCGGAGCAGGACTACGGACAGGGTTGTTAGAGGAAGAAGGAGGTTCTGTATTTCCCATTTGGGTGCTCTGTTTGATACTAAAATGAAGCCTTCCTACCTGCGCTTTTAGTGGGCGTGAAGAGATGTTGTGTGTGTGTGTGTGTGAAAAAGAAGCGAACAGGGCATTTATTGTGAGTGAAAGGAAGCACTTGGGTTTTTAAAAACTAGGTCTCCCACTTATCCTATCACTGAGCAAGGGAGCCCCTATTCAGTTCCAAGGGATGCCAAAGTGGGGGTGAATTTCCATGTGCATTTCCATTGCACATTGCTATTCGTGCCCTTTAGCTTCTTTAGTCATGCTACTAGAATTCACTTCTAAGAACTAGACTGTACGAAATGGAATAAAATGCCAGTACATTTGCAAAATTGTAGTCATTCAGGCCCAGAATGCTTAGCACCGGGGATTTGACTTAAACCACCTGGATGGAAACTGGGGCGGTTCCTAGTGAGTGAATGGGAAAGAGAGAGTGAAGTGTGTGATGATGCCCCGAGACCGTTACACAGCCTCTTACCTTATTCTCTGCTACCTTCACTACTCCCCCAACAACTTTGTTGGTCACTTGAAGTGCCCAAACATGTGACGGTACACCCATGTTGCTAATCTCCAGGATTGGAATCAAGTAGAACTTCCTTCCAGAAACATTGGACTGCCATCCCTCCGGGTCCAGTTGGACGGCAATAGCTTATTGACTCTATTCGTGGACATCAGACCACCAAGTTGCCACCTCCGGTGAGGACAGTTGGCAATTCCATGGACCACGCCTCGTGTATATACCTTCTGTGCTGGCATATCGACCGTTGTGTAATTACTCCAGCCTTGTCCCACAGGGGATACCCTGAGTATCATTTGAACTGGGCCCGGCCTTGGCTGGTCTGTATGCTCCTGACTCTTGGCACCTACCTTGTTTGTTGAGTGTTTGGGGGAATTGGGGGAAGGGGATGTCTCTTGGCTAACTGTTAAGCGTGTCGCCTCTGGCAAAGATGAACTCTGATACTCACTTTGCCTTGTGAGAGCTCCCCTCAGATGCACAGTTTGGATGAAGGGGCTTTCTTTGCTGTTTCAAAAGAGTAACTGAAAATACGACATTCGTTCTCCTGTGGTTTTTTCTTTTCTTTTTGATGCAAGTGTGACAGGCATGTGTTGCGCTTTATCTCACAATTCAGCAGCAGATCAGTTGCACAACTTCAGCGCTTTCCAGTAGCTTCTTCCTGCACAGTATTTTCAGTCAACTGCTCCCACAAACTGCAGTCACTCTGGAACTCTTTTACAGACACTTGAGCACATGCCCGGCCATTGTCAGTTTTACTATTGTTTCCCCCCCAGTCTAGATGACACTACAAACTTACCACAGCACACGGTTATATCTTGTCTTAGCAGACAGGTTCTTTTAATAAATTACACAGCGCCTTCGGCAAACAGCATCACAGCACAAAGAGAGAAATATACACTGTACACGACTTCCTTATATACAATTCTGTACATTTACACATAGCAATCTCTGATTGGTTCCTAACTCATTGACTTAACTCAAACCCAGGATTGCATCATTCACAATCACCTGGATCAGGCCAGAACACATTCCCCAAATGATTCCCTATATACAGTTAATGCATGACTCAGTATTTCCAAGAATGATTGACAACTGGAAAATAGAGGGAGAAAACGTGGAGGCCGTGACAGACTTTGTATTTCTAGGTGCAAAGATTACTGCAGATGCAGACTGTGGCCAGGAAATCAGAAGACGCTTACTTCTTGGGAGGAGAGCAATGTCCAATCTCGATAAAATAGTAAAGAGTAGAGACATCACACTGGCAACAAAGATCCATAGTCAAAGCCATGGTATTCCCTGTAGTAACCTACGGATGTGAGAGCTGGACCTTAGGGAAGGCTGAGCGAAGGAAGAGATGCTTTTGAGCTGTGGTGTTGGAGGAAAGTTCTGAGAGTGCCTTGGACTGCGAGAAGATCCAACCAGTCCATCCTCCAGGAAATAAAGCCTGACTGCTCATTGGAGGGAAGGATACTAGAGACAAAGTTGAAGTACTTTGGCCACATCATGAGGAGACAGCAAAGCCTAGAGAAGACAATTATGCTGGGGAAAGTGGAAGGCAAAAGGAAAAGGGGCCGACCAAGGGCAAGATGGATGGATGGCATCCTTGAAGTGACTGGACTGACCTTGAAGGAGCTGGGGGTGGTGACGGCCGACAGGGAGCTCTGGCGTGGGCTAGTCCATGAGGTCACGAAGAGTTGAAGACGACTGAATGAATGAACAACAACAGCATTTCCAATAGAAGCCTATTAGTAGTGCATGACAGTTATATTACATTACAATACATGGTATTCAGCTGTGTGGAAGGAGCCTAAGTGAGGGCCTTTCCACACAGCCCTACATCCCAGAATATCAAGGCAGAAAATCCCACAATATCTGCTTTGAACTGGGTTATCTGAGTCCACACTGAGATAATGTGGGATTTTCAGCCTCGATATTCTGGGATACAAGGCTGTGTGGAAGGACCCTGAGAGGAGACACTGGGTGATGATTTTTGTGTCAACTTTGCAAACAGGTCTGCAAAAAATATTTGCTTACAGCTGGTTTTCAGGCTATCCCTGCCTGCCTAACCTTGTGTTTTTATTTTGCTACTAGTGTAAATAACCAGTATTGTTCAGGTGTCAGAAAGCCCGCTGCCCACCTGTTTTCTCCCTTCTCCAGCAACTTCACAATGTCTCTGGCCCCTTTTACACTGCCATATAATCTAGATTTGGCCCCCTGGTGGTGCAGCAGATTAAACCACTGAGCTGCTGAACTTGCTGACTGAAAGGTTGGCGGTTCAAATCCGGGGAGCAGGGTGAGCTCCCACTGCTAGCCCCAGATTCTGCCAATCTAGCAATTTGAAAACATGCAAATGTGAGTAGGTCAATAGGCACTGCTCCACCGGGAAGGTAATGGCACACCCTGCAGTCATGCTGGCGACGTGACCTTGGAGGTGTCTATGGACAACGCTGGCTCTTAGGCTTAGAAATGGAGATGAGCACCACCTCCCAGAGTCGGACACTTAATGTTAAGGGAAACCTTTACTTTAGAAGGGTGTTTATGTCTCCACTGCCAGATAATCTGGGACAAACCGACAATCTGAGATCAGATCTTAAGATATAGGGTCAGCGTAGAAGGTGGAGAGGTAGGTTTATTGCCAGATGAAAAATTCCGGGGTGAGGAGAAACACTTTGTAATTGCATCATTGATCTTAAACAGTTTGAGATGTATTGGGCTTGAGGTCATCTAAAACCATAAGAAAAATGGAAAGTGCATGGATTGGGACATTTCTTGGTGACATTTTTTTTTCTTTCCCAGAAGTTCTGCAAAAACAGGCAGCAGACGGCATGTGGTTTGGCAAGTGTCCGTGGACTAGTATTAACAGTGAATTGATCAAATACCCAGTTTCCAGCACTGATGATTGAGATATGATTTGAAATAGTTTCTCTACTCACAGGTCATTTCTGGTCTCCTATGTTCACTTCACTAATATGGACTAAAGGAGGCATTGCTGTCAAACTCGACAATGCTAAAGGCTTCCAAACCTAACTGTTGCTGATGGGTAAATTTCCATTTGGCTGAGAGAGCTTTCTCATGGCACATATTTTACTCCTTGTTGACTTGAGGAGAGGAACTCATATTCTATTGAATGGAGACACTGCTGCTTTAGCAGTAGTTGTTTGATGTGCATTTATCTTGAGGGTAGAACTATCTTGGAGGAGGCAAGAACCGCCCTGAGTCCCCCTGGGGAGATAGGGCGGGTTATAAATAAAGTTTTATTACATTATTATTATTATTATTATTATTATTATTATTATTATTATTATTATTATTTTACACAAAAACACTATGTCACAGCAAAACGAGATCTATTGTTGTTGTTGTTGTATTGTCGAAGGCTTTCATGGCTGGAATCACTGGGTTCTTGTAGTTTTTTTCGAGCTATATGGCAATGTTCAAGAGCAGGGGTCCTCAAACTTTTTAACAGAGGGCCAGGTTGCAGTTCCTCGAATGCTTGGAGGGCCAGATTATAATTTGAAAAAACATGAATGAATTCCTATGCACACTGCACATATCTTATTTGTAGTGCAAAAAACACTTTAAAACAATACAATAATTAAAATGAAGAATAATTTTAACAAATATAAACTTATTAGTATTTTAATAGGAAGTGTGGGCCTGCTTTCGTCTGATGAGATAGGATTGTTGTTGTTGTGTGCTTTCAAGTCGTTTCAGACTTAGATTGACCGTGAGCGAGGGCCGGGTAAATGACCTTGGAGGGCCACATCTGGCCCCCGGGCCTTAGTTTGAGAACCCCTGTTCTAGAGGCATTCTCTCCTGATGTTTCGCCTGCATCTATGGCAAGCATCCTCAGAGGTAGTGAGGATGCTTGTCACAGATGTAGGCGAAACGTCTGAGGATGCTTGCCATAGATGCAGGCGAAAAGGTCAGGAGAGAATGCCTCTAGAACATGGCCATATAGCCCGAAAAAACCTACTAAAACCCATTATTATTATTATTATTATTATTATTATTATTATTATTATTTTACTGACACAAAAGCACAGTGTGTCACAGCAAACGAGATCTATATGCTGCATTTCATGTCAAAAAATCACAAGTTGAACACTTCCCAAGCGTCTAGGACTGTGTGATGTATTTTCGAATGATGCGCACAGATTATTATTAAGATTATTATTACTATTATTATTATTAGATACATAACAAGATTAGTACACAGCAAACTATATTGGCTTATGTATTTGATCACACGTCGGACACTTCCCAAGTGTCTAGGACCATGTGATGTATTGGCAAATAATGTGTGTAGATTCAAGTAGGGTGGCCTTTTGCAGCTGACATGGTAATCTTGTCGGCACCAATTTGTTTTTAAGTGCATGCCAAGGTATTTAGGCACTGCACCCAGTGTGCCAATCATTGCGGGGACCACTTTTACTGACTAATGCCAGAGTCTTTGCAGTTCTATCTTTAAATCCTCATTATTATTATTATTATTATTATTATTATTATTATTATTTTACTGACACAAAAACACAGTATGTCACAGCAAA